CGTCACCGCTCCAGAAACTGTCAATGAGCACGAGCCGATAATAATGCCGATGATTCACGTGTGTTTTTGGTGCAGCGTGTGAATGCGGGCTTTTCACACGCAGGCAGGCAGGCAGGCCTCCTTCATTTTGCCCAATCGAATCCTCATCATAGCGTTAGGAACCAATGACAATGTGCGATTTGTTGTCTCCAAAAAAACAAAAATCGATCAAATCTTTAACGGACCTTTTCAACGAGAAAACGTGGTCAGGATCTGGAGGAGCCCCTTTGAACGGGATCGGGTGACAAACAGTAGTCGTGAGCTTCGTGATACAGACACACAGACAGTAGTAGTGGTTGTTGGTTAGACTAAGACCCCAGCATGCAGCAGGTCACTGGACCGAAGTCGATACGAGTTGTGGCGCATCTTTGATCTTTGATCGAAATCAGAGGGAATAAACTGAGTTGGTCGTAGCAGACTGGAAATGATGGACAACAAAAAGACATAAATGACAGTTTGTATTCAAGTGCCCACCCCTTCCCCCCTCCATCTTACCCAACCCCCTTAGGGATGCTTGGCTAACCATGGCCACAATTCCATATCATATTGTGCTACTTGCACTGTTTGGACTGCAAAGAAGGGTGCAAGAGACCGAGATGGGGAGTACGGGGGGAGTGGGGGTGTCTCGGTGGTGATGGGAGGGGTAGCAGGCCTGTACCATGCACACTGTGAAGGGACTGCTATGGGGGGGTGGGGGGGTATACATGGGGGATTCACGGCAGCATCGGCACTCACCGATTGCTAACGCTCACGTGAGGATGTCGGGATGATTCTGAGCTAAAACCTGTGGGAACTCTCAACGCTGGCTGCGCATTGCGTTTCGGTGCGGGGGTTCCAGCTTTTCACTTGTTTATCTGGCGTCTTTCGCTTCCAGCTATTTTTTTTTCATTTGATAACGGCATGAAGTGGACGCCGTCAGATGACATGCACGGGGGAGCAAGCGAGCAAATTCGAATGTTCCGATCAAATGGAACCTTTCGCGGCCCCTCCCCCGATGATGTTTTGTGTCACGCAGCTCATAATGTGTTGGTTTGTCGGTGTAAAAAGTCCCAATAATGAGTGTCACAAACGATTTTGGGGGCTAAAGGAGTTAGCCTATGATGCTAAGAACTAATTTTGTTATGATTTATTATGAGATGACGAAAGATAGCTTGTTTACTTTTTGGTATATTTTGGCATATCTAGCTCTGCCAACATTTTTAGGAGGGAAAACTATATTTGACGGATGATACTGAAAAGTTGCACAAAATATTGCTATCAACTGCTAAGAACAGTTCAGAGATAGCGGTTAACGTAGCATACGGTTTTGCCTACACATAACAAAACCCTCATCCAATCAGCGTGTTGAAAATTCTGTCAAATTAACGAGCTGTTTATGAAAAAATAAAATGAATTATGTCGTTTGTTTGTCATTTTTAATCGAAAAATATTGAGGCGGAATATGTTAGCGCTAGTTGCGCTAAAAACAAAAGTACAAATTAGCACAGCTCTACAATCAAATTGTATTAGTTACCTTTTCCAAAACTACCGCTTTGAAATTGCAGAGAAACTTACTTTTCCAAAATGTCTAACTACCGCTTTGAAATTGCAGAGAAACTGTTGTGTCAGCAACTTTAATATATACAAAGACACCAAGTCGAGTCGCCTTTTTTCCCCATCAGCACCGGGCATGTAAACAAAATGGAGGCGTACGAGGCCTTTGAACTGAGGCACTTAGTGAAGAGGAAAATACAGTTTTTCCCTCGAGGAACAAACGTGATGATGATGCATTTGCATGTAGTATCGTTAGGACTATTCTTGAACGTCACTCTTCCTCCTCGGGGACAACTCCAGTCCCATTATTTCGTATTGTAATTACACCGTGAAAGTGGACGTGCTGCACCTTTACAGTACAGTCTCTTTCAAACCCATCTTGAGCGGCAGAACTTGCGGACGTCTATCACGTCTGCAGTCGCTACGTTGTGTTTGTGTGCTCGGGTGCAGGGACGATGACCCGGATCATCGCTTCGGGGGTCAGCGGGGTGTTATGTGACTGTTTTTTTTTTGGGGGGGTGAGGGGGGGGCAGCGAGGGGGTATTGTCGCCGCGGGTCCGTCGGTTGTGCTGGTTAATTTATGATGCTGCAGTGCAGCTGACCGGAGCTGGTGGTGCAGGTCGGCCTCTGCGTTCACTCTTACCACCCACCTTTGACGGTCAGACCCTGGCCTTGGTCCAATGAGACTGTCATATCATTTGTTTTGGACACAACTCCATATGTACACTTATATATTGATTGACTTTATTATGGAGGTTAGCGGTACTGCATATACTGAAGGAATTTTAACTAGTACTCTCTACATACTATATTTAATATCCTTTATCACAGCGGTCCCTAACCTTTTCTGTACAAAGTACCAGTTAGCCAGTATTAGCCGTTACTGCGTACCGCTAATACCGCGCCATCGTCGAAGGATCACTTAATTTTGTCCGAGTACATTTTTTCACTCTGTCCCACCGCGTCCTTGTTCCAAATTACCTATGGACCAACACCGGTCCTCGGACCAGAGGTTGAGAACCCCCTTCCATTTTTTTATTCAATAATTAGTGTAACATCCCTGGCTGTGCTAACGCTGCGATCAAATGGAACAGGTTAATGTCCTGTACTGTGACTGTACTTTTTCTCGTGGGAAGGGGGCGGGGTCAAGACCCTCTTAGGGTTCGGGCTCCTCCAATGTTTCCGACAGGGATTCCATCAGAGATGCACCGATAAAACGGAGACATCTGCTGCATTCTGCACCAGGAGAGCCCTCCCCCCCAACCCTTCGTCACCCCCTCCCCCTTCGCCTCCCCCCCGACTTTTATTACATCGTAAAACACCAGAGGTTGTGCATCTATTCCGCAACCACCAAACCTCCTCTCTACGGCCTGCCAATCTGTATCTACTGCTCTTCCCCC